AAATATATAAATTAAATTAAATTAAAATAATTCAAAAATTTTCTTGCCCTATTTAGAGGGCAAATATTGTTGTGGTGTTTTTGATCGGGTATTTAAACCCATTTTGCGATAAATTTCGCTGTTACAATTGTCGTTATTTTAATTATTGTTAAGGAAAGAAAAGGACAAAAAAGCAGATATTTAAATGATCTGGTCGTATTTGTGTTTAATGTTGTTGTACACAGTTTCAATATACTAAAGAGCTCATGGTGCTAACTATCAAAAAACGTAATTTCCCTTTTTTTTTTTTAATACCTAACAGCATTTTTCACGTTCGGAATGATTCGGGTAAATTACCTAGAAAAGTGCTAATCATTATCATAGTCAGTCAAATGTTATTTGTGTAAATGTTTGTTTCAAATTTAGGCATTTTGGCTCAGAAAATCTATAACACGACAGGTACAAATGAAATATGAAAAAATAAATCAAAACACTAGTTAATGTAATTTATTTAAAGAATGGAAGCCAAAAACTCGTAAATTCTGTTTGTTTGTCAAAATTTTTAAACCTAGTCACAGTAGTATATTTAATGAATATAAATTTAGAAACTGTTGAGATTTTCTGGGATCTGAGATGTCTGTTGATTTGATTGTTAAAATAAATAAAGTATTTTATTTTTTGTTTTTAAAAACAAATTTTTCTGAAAAAAAGCAAAACCATNTTTGAATTCGTTTGTTTCTCAGAGATGAAAAACACTAAATATAAGATATAATACCGAAAATAAACAAAATACTGACCGTTGTGGCCTTAAGGACTCTGTCCTGGAGGAGACCAGTATACCCCATTTCCAAGAAATCATCCCCATTACATCAGAATGATGATGAACCAAATAAAGTATCTAAAACAAAATTAAATGTTATTATACTAATTTAAAATTTAAATTAAAATAAAGTTTAAAGATAATGAGCAAGTCCAAATTAGATAAGGAAGAGAATTTCCCAAAAAGAAAATTATACTAAAGAAAATCAGAAAATGTATTTGAATTCGTTTGTTTCTCGTGAAAAGATGTGAATGTAGGTGAAGTTTTTAGTAACAGAGGGTGAATTTGGATGTTTATGAGCGAATAAGTAAGAATGACAGTAAAGGAATGGGAAGTAATGAATATGTATAGGTAAAAAATTTAAGGGTGACCGTTTGTGCAATTGAATGTTTATAAAAGTTGTAAAAATGATAGTATGTGAATAAATGGTAGTGCAATTGGGATTTAATGAAAGAAGAATGAAAAGTGTTAGTATGAGTGGATGAGGGTGAATGGGAGCAAATGAGGAATGGTTGGGGATAATGTGTGTAAGAGAGTGAATATGCGTATGTGAAAGAATGAGGGTGTAAGGGAAAGAATGGATGAGAGGGAGTATGTGAGAGAGTGATGGTATGAATGAGGGAGAGAATGTATGAGAGGGTGTGACTGCACCTTTACTCATACATTATTTCCCTCGTTCATGCCCTCACTTGTTTCCCACATTCTCCCTCTCCGCATCAATTCTTACCCTTACAAACCTCATCCTTCCATATACGCATATTACCTCTCTGAAACACATCTATCCTGACCATCCCTCATTTGCTGGGGTGCGTGAGAGTGTGAACAAGGGGAGGGGGCAGAATAAACAACAATAAAAGGAGAAAGAGTATATATTTCTTTTATTTAAAACAACAAAAATAAATTTTTCACTTCCACATTCACGATGGAGAAGCATTTTCATCAAGAGTTCAAGGTTTGTATAATCAAATTGTAATGGCCGACATCGGCAACAATACTACTAAACTTAAAATAATAATGGCCGCCAGCGACAACAATTAAAAAGATAATGGCCGACAACAGCAACAATCAAAAAATCATAATGGCCGACATCAGCAACAATAAGAAATAATAATGGCCGACAGCCTCAATAATTAAAAAGCATAATGGCCGGCCACAACAACAATTAAGAAATAATAATGGCCGACAACGGCAACAATGCATTAATAAAAATGGCTGATTATTAATAAACATAAACAGATCCAGTCTTTTATCTTTAAAATACTTTATTTATAAGGTAAATAGTTTTATTTGGTAACTACAAAACGTTTTAAGTAAATCTAGGAAGTTCATAGTAGATAAACAAAGAAGTAATTTTGTGTAAAAATATACTGCATATTCCTTTTTTATTATACAAATAATTTTATAGTTGCTTTTCTTTCAGAAACTCATTAGACTTCTGATATTGTTAAATGGAAATACTGCATCATGAAAGAGAAATGGTTTGTTTATCTTCTCATTATTAGCCATTAATGATGGTTCTCGATTACCCCATTCAGGATTATAAAAGGTTCTGCTTCTTCCACCAAAGTATCTGCCTGCAGGATTTTTATGTATGGATTTCTGTCAATTAAAAATAATATTTCTTTTATGTATTTCAAGTTATGCCTGAAAACTGATACATGAACCTGTTGATTACAGATTATGTTGACTTTTATGGAGAATATTAAGCAGCACAGAATTGTCAGTGTCAGTGGACAAATCATGATGGGTATTAGTAGCATGGTATAAGAAATTGCACAATGAGCAAGATTCTGCCGATAAAAAACCCCATGGTACGGTGAAGAAGCATTTCAACGTGAGTTCAAGGTTAGTAAAAATGAAATATGGTTGAGAATGACACCATGATCATCGAAATGTATTTTAGGTTTCTAAACATTTTCTACAATAATTGGGTTTTTAGTGTTTAATTTTGTAATTTCATGAATTTTTGTTTATTTACTTTTATCATAGTAGTTACCTATACTTCTTGAATATGAAAATTACAACAGTTTTTTGTTGAGTAATGTTTTGTTTCCTCCTCAACTTGAAATTCTATTACATTTAGCACTTGTTGCATATATTAATAGTTATCCTCACATATTTAATAGTTTAAACTTTTTCTTTGAATTTTAATTTACCTCTTAATTTAAATTTTGTCTATTACAATTTTGTGTGTTTATTCAATTTTGTCCTCCAGAATTTTTTTAATAGTTTCAAGTAATAGGTGTATTTTGTA